CACAGTAAATGAGGTAATGGGGGTAGGTGTGTTGAAGTCAGAGAGACTGACTCAGGATAGAGTAGGGTTCAGAGCTACTGTACATAGGGTCACTACTGAGTCACAGGCAACTCAGTGGCACATTACAACAACAACAATATTTCATAAAAGATGTACTATACTTTCATCCAGCATCTCCTATCATTTGGTATATGAGTTGTTTCTATCCTGAACAAGGTGCCCTTGATAGTGACCCCTCCAGCTCCATGACAGTGTATTCAGTTACCCCTTGTCAGTTTAGCATTACTTACAGCAAACTCCTCAGGAGTCACTTTCAAGACATCAAAGACAACGGCATCATAGCTCTTGCTGGCATAGTCGCAGCTCTGGCCCTCCAGAGACTCTGAGCTGCTGCTGCCCTGTGGAGAGATGGCACCAATTGAATAGTGTGGCTTGAAATCACTGACTCACACACCTCAGAAATGAGGATACAAGAGAGTCAGACCAGTACAATTACAAATGTTTCTACGGCTTAACATTTTACTCCGGGCACACTGTTAGGCACTTCATAGGCAAAATTTCATTTAATTCTCACAACAACCCTATGAACACACACTGTTAATTATTAAATATTACATATAAGGAAGAGGCTATTGTTGTTACATGCCACTGAGTCAGAACTGCCTCATAGCTGACCTCTAGGGGGTTTTTCAGAGGCTGTATATTACACAAAAGGAAACTGTCCGTCTTCCTCCTGTGGGACACCTGGTAGATTCAAACTATGTGCCTTTGCAATGGCAGTGCAACTTCTTACCATGAAATCACCAAAGAAACAACATCAACTCTCCAAGGTATTTCAGTTAGGAAATTGAAAAAAATTTGAACCTAGTTTTACATCTGTGTCACTGTAAAGTGCATACTCTTAAATCACTGTACCCTTACTTCTTGCTGGAAGTGTGGTAAGGTAATAAATTACAATACACAGAACTACTCATATGCAAGTTCAAACTAAAGCCAAAGAAGGTTAAATCAAATCCACAGGAACCAAAATTTTACCTTGAGTCTATCCCACCTGAATTTCAAAACCACCTCAGGAAGAGGTTTGAGGCCTTCAACACTAATGAGTGAAGACCAGATGAGCTGTGAGAGAATATCAAGAATATCATCCAGGAAGAATGCAAAATATCATTACAAAGACATAGGAGGAAGAAAAAGACCAAGATAGATATCAGAAAAGACTCTGAATATTGCACTAGAATGCCAAGAAGCCAAAGCAGAGGGAAGGAATCAAGAAGTTAAGGAGTTAACAGAAGATTTCAAAGGGTAGCACAGGAAGATACAGCAAAGTATTATAATGAAATGTCCCAAGAATTGGAGTCAGAAAATCAAAAGGATAGAACTCACTCAGCATTTATTAAGCTGAAGGAACTGAAGAACAAATTCAAGCCTCAAGTTGTAATACTTAAGGATGCTTTGGGCATAATATTAAATGATCCAGGAAGCATTCTAAGAAGACTAAAGGAGTATACAGTCACTGGACCAAAAAGAATTGGATGACAGAAGAATTTCATGAAACAATGTATGATCAAGAGCCTGTGGTAGTGAAGGATGAAGAACAATTTGCTCTGAAGGAATTGGCAAAAAATAAGGCCCCAGGAACTGACAAGAATACCTACTGACATATTTCAACAAACATATGCTGTCCTGGATGTGCACAAAATTGTGGCACAAAATCTAGAGGACAATCACCTGGTCAATTAACTAGAAGAGATCCTTATTTGTTCCCATTCCAAAAAAAGGTGACCCAACAAAGTGCAGAAATTATCAAACAGTATTATTAATATCACATGCAAGAAAGAGTCTACTGAAAAATTTCCAAAAACGACTGGAACAGCACAGCAACACAGAACTGCCGGATGTGCAGGCTGGGTTTAGAAGAGACTGTGGCACTAGAGATATTATAGGAATGCCAGATGGTTCTTGGCTGAAAGCAGAGTACCAGAGGAATGTCTGTGTTTCATTGACTATGCAAAGGCATTTGATCATGTGGATCACAACAAACTGGCTAACTCTGAGAAGAATGTGAATCCCAGAACACTTGACTGTGCTTACACGAAACCTATACTTGGACCAGAAAGCACTGATCAGAACAGAGCAAGGAAGCACGGCGTGGTTCAAGATTAGGAAAGGTGTACGCCAGGGATGTTTCCTATCTCCATACATTTTCAATCTATATGCAGAACAGATCATCCAGGAGGCTGGGCTCTATGAGTAGGAATATGACATCAGGATTGGTGGAAATTCATGAACAACCTGCATTATGCAGATAACACAACCTTGCTTGCTGAAACTGAGGAGGACTTGAAGTACCTTCTGCAGAAGGTCAAGGACTGTAGTCTTCAATATATATTGAAGCTCAGTATCAAGAAAACAAAGATTCTCACCACTGGGCCAATTGACAGCACTGTGATCGACAGTGAAGAGACTGAGACTGTTAACAGCTTCAGCTCACTTGGCTCCACAATCAACACTTATGATACCAGCAACCAGGAAATAAAAAGATGAACTGGGAAAATCTGCTGTCAGGGACTTCTCCAGAGTACTGAAGAGCAATGATGTCAGCCTAGAGACTAAAGTGTTCCTGATCTAGGCCATAGTCTTCACAATTGCGACTAAGGGTGATAGAAGAATTGATATCTTTGAACTGTGGTGCTGGAGAAGAGCACTGAATATGCCATGGACTGCTAGGAGAACAAAAAGGTTTGTTGAGGAGAAGGTAAACCAGGCTGCTCCATGGAGGCAAGGATTTTGAAGCCCCATCTGACATGCTTTGGGTATGTTTATAAGGAAGGACCAGTCCTTGGAGAGGGACATCATGCTTGGAAGGGTGGTGGGACAGCATAAGAGAGAAAGATCCTGGATGAGATGGGGGTAGGTATGTCAGAGACAGTGAGGTTGACTCAAGACAGAGCAGGGCTCAGAGCTGTTGTACATAGGTTTGCTATGAATCACAAGCAACTCAACAGCACATAACAATAAGATGGTACCCTTGGAGTAAACAGACCCTGCCATTTCAGGAAGCCTGAGGAGATAATCTATTATGCTATGCTCTTTAAACATTACTTAGGGTCACCTTTTCTTTCTGACTTGAAGTCAATGCAAAAATAGAAAATATAAAGTATGTATGGCTTATTTCCTGTATGGACAGTTTGAAATTTTTAAGTCAGTGTGGGAAACACAAAATATATACTACGTGTAGCTTATTTCAAATGTGGACATCTTGGAATTCAAAGCCTATTCAGTGATGACGTGAGAGTTAAACAATTGGCTTTGGAGACTGATGTGAAAGTTATATTTAGTAGAGTTTCTCATATTCTAAGTCCTACAGGTAAAGAAAGGGTTTCCCATTAAAGATCAAGTTAAAATTACCCAAATAGGACTGGTTTTCTGCACCCAAACTGTCAGGATCCTAGAACGGTAAACATACTTTCTCTTCAATTTTATTACATTTCATCAAACTCTACTTTTGTGAATCAATAATGCTTACAACCCAACAGCCATACCCCAGATCATAAGTGGTTTTATTTGCCTCAACTCATGAAGAACTTTGTGGTTTTATTAACCTCAACATCTTGGACCAGGATTTAGAGAATATGCTCTCATTAATTCCTTTCTATTTCACTCTTTCCAAATGGTTATAGCTGGAAAATCTCTGCAGTATTACTGGAAATGAAAATGCTTTTAGGCCAATGAGGGAAACCAATCGTCAACAACTGAAAAGGTGAGGTTAAAAAGATGACTAGGAACTTAAACCTGGAGATTTCAAAAAGCCTGTGTCATTAAAAGGTTTTAAAAATAAGTCTACTAAACCAAAACTGTTTAAGATGATCTTAAACAATATTTCATAGGAGTCAAGAAATCTGAAGTCTGACAGACCTGGCCAGCTCCATACCAACTGTCTGTCTTCCAGCAAGTTTCTTCTCATTTATCACATGTAAATTGGTGATGTTAAAACCTATTCCCCCCAAAAAAAAAAATTTTAAAAATTAAAAAAAACCCCTATTCCCCAGCGTACAGCATGGATAATATAAAATGAGGGCTCTAAATGGAATGACAGAAGCCCTCTTCCCAGAGGATGTTGAGAGGCCTGGGGTGGATTTCAGGAATGGTTATTTAAAGGTTCCACACGTGATAGGCTAGTCTCCTTTGATGCTTTGGAGTGAACTTTTGAAAAGCAGTAAAAGACTAATCCTGAGTGCTTCTGGAATTGGCAGTCTACCTTGCAGTCTTTATACATAAACCCTGAACAGAAAATATTATTATAAGGCATTCTATACTTCTGTACCCACCTTCCAGCAAGCAAGCTAAACTAGGGTTCCAGAGTTGATTTTCTTTAAGGATAGCAAAGTATGCAGTTAGGAGGATCTCCTAGAAAGTGATATAGGCCTGGCTTTGACTCCTTAACTGCCTGGAACTAACAGTATGATTTAGAGCCATTTCATTCCCCTTTCTATCATTTAGTCTCGTCATCTATAAAATGAGGAGAGGGCTATGAAAACAAAAGTATATGACTGATGGGGTTACTGTGAGGTTAAGTGGGATCATATCTTTGGAACATTGAAAAAAAAAAAAAACAAACACAGAAGCAAACAGCACAAAACCTGCCTGGTATAATAATCATGAAATTGGTGGTGATGGTGGCAATTTCATTCATGCTGTGTTGCTGTTTCAACCCATACATACAAAGAAAAAAATATTGCCCAGTCTTATGCCACTGGCTCATATGCATGTGAAAACTGAATGAGGAAAAGCAAAGAAATACTAAATTTTTTATAAAGTGTTATTGTGATTTTAATGAAAATTTAGGGAAAACTTGGATTTCCATTCATTAATTGTTACACATTTTCCTCCCTAGCTCCCCCACCCAGTTCACTTTTCTCTTTAAAAAAATTCATTCATAGTCTATTAGACTGTTATTGTAGAATGAGTATAAGGATCCAAGAGGGTGGGAGAGCCTGGAAGCAGAGGGATGTGGATGTGCAGGGGGAGGAGGGGATTAATCATTGGGTTGTAAAATTTGATGGGTGGTGGGGTGAGGAAAATTGAAAGAATTTGTTCAAATTTTTATTAGAATTTTGTACATAAATTAATGAAAAGAAAAAAGTCAACTTGAAGAGGGGGAAGGGAAGGAAAGGGGGTAAAATGTGTCACAATGAATGAATGAAAATCTAACTTTTTGTAAACTTTTGTTAAAATGACAAAATAAAAAATTTTTATTTTTAAAAAAATTTACTCATTCTTGCTCAACTTCCTCCCTACCCACCCCAAACCCAGCCCACCTTGTTATGCACTTCTTATTCTGGATTCCTGTCATGCAAACATTACCTAAACATATATTGTTTTTAAACAATTCTTTCCC